CCATGCTACTGGTACTCAGGAGTCTGCGTCACCCTGCCCAGCAGCGGAACCACTGGGCTATGAGAGGGACACTGGACGCCGGCCGATTTTGTATACTTGAACCGCCTTCTTGCGATGCAAGCTTGGTCAAAATATTCTTTACGGTGCTGGGTATCGAACCCCGGACCCCGCAGTCGGGACCCGACGCCTCTGCGCTCTCGGCCACCACGGCCCATGGATAGTGAAGTGCGAAGGGGAGCATTTGAAGCCGCTGGTCCGAACCGTATAGTCAGACAAAAAGAGCGGGAAGCTAGTATTCGATCGCTCGATCCGAGTATAGGATTCAAAGATCTCAACATCTTCGGCCACCGTGGCTCACCGGGTGAGTCGAGTGGCGCAGCGGGCCCAAACCGCACCGGGAAAGCCACTCCTAAAATGTAAAGGGTTGCAGGGAGTCGAACCCCAACTCCTGAAGTAGCGGATCAACGCCTCTGCGCGCTCAGCCGCCGCTGTTTCAGAAAAGTGAGTCGTAAGTCCCACTACTGGCTTCACACTGTGGCATCCCGAGGAAAACATGATCACGCGCAGGGGCTAGGGTTCGACTCCCAGCAATTCTTTACATTTTAGGAGTGGCTTTCCCAATGCGGTTTGGACCCGTTGCGCCACTCGGCTCACCCGGTGAGCCACGGTGGCCGAAGGTGTTGAGATCTCTGAATCCCATACTTGGATCGAGCGATCGAATACTAGCTTCTCTCTCTTTTTGTCTCGCTCTTCCAGAGGACCGGTGGAGGCGACCAAAACTCTAAGCGCGTTTTAAGCTCCAGTCGATAACCAGGACTCTAAGAAAACGTGTGAACCCACCAATGGATTACTCGTTCGGAGAGCAATCCATTGGTGGGGTCACACGTTTGGTTCGAGTTCCATTTAGCGACTCTGGAGCTCAAAACGCGTCGGGCACCCTGCGCCACAATGCTGGCTGCGGACTCTGCAGCAGGCGGGGCTGGCGGGGCTGCGGGGCGTGGCGGCCGCCTTGACCGGGCCGTTCCTCAGCTGTTTCAGCATTCATTCATTCCCGGAACCGACTCCTCGACTCTTCGGCGGCGAGCCCCCCACGGCGCTCCCAGGAACCACAAGCAGAGGGCAAAGGACGGAGGCTGGCCACGGCCGGGCCCAGGGACCGTCTGCGACTTGCGTAGTCAAGAAATTTACCCACTTCAACACTCCATGATCTCGGGCAGAACAATGCTTTTGGGCGGTGGCTGAAGAAAAGAAAAAGAAAGAAATGCTCTTTGAAGGGAAAATGCTGAGGTGCGGAAGAAATGCGCTCTGCAGGGAAATTCTCTCAGGCTGAAGAAACCCTCCCGAAGCCGGCATCACTAGTACCACATTTCTGAAATCTCAATTCGTTTTCAGTACCCATACCTCGTTGTGTGCGCACCCTACCACCACAACCAGGGGCGTGCTGGCTGCCTTGTGGTCCCCGTGGCAGGGGGCGCAGAGCCCCGGGGAGTTAGACAACCCATCACGCGCCCCAGTAGAGCAGGTACTCTACACCTCCGGCGCTCCCCGCGCTGCCTGCCCGCCTTGCCTTGCTGCTGCCGCTGCTGCCGCCTGGCGGGTGGCGGTGGTACTAGTCAGGTGACCGAGGCTGTAGGGGAGGCCAATTAGGACCTCAGCAACAACAAACTGGGGGAAACAGCATAAAGAACAACAACAACAACAACGCCCTGGCCTGGCATCGAGTTGCGGTATCCAGACTGCTGCAAACGCCACCGCCTCGGCGAGCAGGTTCTAGGTGCTTGCAGACACGAGCATGCGCTCACGCCGTTTACCCAGAGCACCGGGTTTGAATGATTTCGGTGACACTGTGAAGTTGTATGTTTTTTGGCTGGAACAGAAAGCCAGGTGTTGGGGACCCATGCCGCAACCACCAGCGGAGGCCTTGGCCAGCGGGGGCCGACCGACCGCGATGCCCAATCGCATGTCTTGCTCCGTGTTGCCCGGGTAACCCATGCATTTAGGATAGTGTATCGACTAGGGCTCCTTAGACGACGAGCACGTGACTGTACCCCGCGTCCGAGTGGCTTTTGATGACCGCCTGATGGGCGTGGGCAGGCCTTGCGCGTGGGGTATCGCCGGTGAGCTCTCCGCCCGGTCGCGCAGAGGCCACAGAGGGCGAAGCGCCTCAAGGACATGCCGGGCTCGCAGCTCTCAGCGCAGCAGCGCCTCTTCCGCGGGGGGCTCTCCGAGTCTGGCAGTCTGGCGGGGGCCGCGGGGGCCCGGTGGCCCCGTCGGGGTGTGGTGGGAGTCCTACGTAGTCCTACGACGGTGCAAGGCGGGCAAGAAGGGTACCCCGCCCCCACCCACACCATATCGATCAGGCCCCCGTGATGGCTCCGACGCGGGGTATGGCCGCGGACCGGGCGGCGCGCGTGGAGTAGTGGCGCGCGGATACCCCGCGCTGGCCCTGCTGGCCCCACCTGACCTAGCCTAACCTGGATGCTGCGCCACGCTGCGCCACGCTGCGCCTGTACCGTTGCCCAGCGTGACGCCCGGACCCCGTGTCGGACTCCCGGACGCTTTCCTGCGACTCATCCAGCGGGGAGGAAATTCACGACACACTTCCGGGGTCACTGGCCCGGGCAACGCAACACGCGGGAAGCTATCACAAGGGGAGTGTACCTCGGATTCCTGCCGACCGGGCAGGGCCGCACCAATTCATGGAGATTTCATGGAATTGGCCGGCCTGTTTCCCTATTCATTTGCCCGGCCGCGCGCCCCGCGTGCACCGCGTGCCTGGCGCGCTCCTTGTCCTCCAGGAACGCCGCGACGCCGCGACACAGTGGGCCAGAGACCGGTGGGGGCGGCCGAAGCTCCAGACGCGTTTTAATGCGCTCCAGAGTCACTAAACAGGTCTCGAACCGAACGTGTGACCCCACCAATGGATTCCTCGTTTGGAGAGCAATCCATTGGTGGGGTCACACATCCATTGGTGGGGTCACACGTTCGGTTCGAGTACCATTCTGCGCTTCTGGGGCTCCAGACGCGTCTAGAGTTTCGGCCGCCTCCACAGGTCTTCTGGCCCACTGTGCGACACCGGCCGTGCTCGGCCGGCCACTCACAAAGGAGCCACTAGAAAGTTGGTAATGCATGTGGAACGGCGCCGGGCACATCACCATCGCGAGCAGCCTGTCCATTTACACCGCCCACCCGTTTGTAATTCTAGATGGCACCGTGTGACGCGGGGCGCGGCGGGGCGTGGCGCGGAGGGGGCACTGCTGGAAAGAGGTGAAAGTTCCTCCTCGAGACGCGCCTTCTCCGCTACATATCCAATATGTGCTCGTGTGTGCGTCGCGCTTGCGTACGTGTGTGTGTGTGTGTGTGTGTGTGTGTGTGTGTGTGTGTGTGTGTGTGTGTGTGCGTGCGTGAGGCGGGAGCAAAGCTGCGAGGCTTTTTCTCTCCAGGCATTCCCTCTTCTTTCGCCGGGTCCAGCAGTGCGGGAGACTCTCCGCGCCAACCGCAAACAGATTCCCCATTCGCTCCGGTTTTGCTCCGGTCAAGCGCCGCGTTTAAGGTTTAAGGCGCGGGCCGGGCGATTTGTTCAGCCTTGTGGCGGCGCGGGGCGGGGCGTGTCAGCCACTGCTATCTCTGGCCTCGTCCAGCCCCAAGCCCGGACCAGGGCTAAGATAGGGAACGCCCATCAGTTGCGCGCGCGGGGACCGACTGCCTCGTTCTTCAAGAAGCCCCACGCGAGGCTACGCGAGGCGCCCGCCCTCCGCCGGGTAGGCAACCCTTCGCACGGCCAGAGGGCACCGGTTGCATCGCCCAGGGGCTCCGCGTGTCTTGAGCTTGTCTGCGATCTTTGACTCCGGGAACTCGGCATGGCGTTTCCACGTGCAGACCGGAAAAGCGTCTGTGCGGAGGAATGCGCGCGGTCGGTGGTTCGACTACCGGCGTCGGCAGATCGCCAGCTGGTTTTTCATCCCCAATTTTTGAACAGCGAAAGACACTTTCTGAGAGTTTTTCGAGCGGTTCCCAAACACAACAAGGAAGCCTCCGTTCCCTGAGTACACTAGGTACTTGAGTTCAATGGGAGCAGGGGGCTTGGGGAGGGGGAACTGCTTGCTTGGCCCCTCTCTCCCACCTTCGTCAATCGCTCCCGGAGAGGCAGTGGCCCTGAGGAAGTGAATCAGATTTCCCAGGTGACAAAAAGCGCGCCCGGTATGGCCAGCATAATCGATGGACGTTTCGAGAGTCGCGGCGCAGGCGGCGCATAGCTGCATGTCCGACTGCATCGCTCGAGCCATGAGACACCGCTGCAGAACTCACTGCAAGGCACTGCAAGGCACACTGCAAGGCACACTGCAAGGCACTGCAGGGAGGGGGGCGGCCAGAGAGAGAGGACCGAGAGGACTCTGCTGTTGGCAACAGTGCGGCCCGGACGGCGTTGCCGCTGCAGTGGGCCGCGGGGCCGTGGGCCGTGGCAAAGCGGCAAAGCCCTGCCGCGGCGACGCGACGCGCAGGGCCTTTACGGCCCACGGCCTCGTGGCACGGCCTCGTGCGTGGCACGGCCTCGTGCGTGGCACGGCCTCGGACGCCCCCCACGCAGTGCCACGCAGTGGTGTCCCTGTGACACCGGCCTCGGACCGGCCTCGGACCGGCCTCAGACTCACATTCTGGCTCATGGCGTCATGGCAGCCCTCTGGCACCGCCGCACGGGCTGGCACGGCCTTATGGACCGGACTAACCCCTATGGAACGTGGTCGTGAATAGTTACTGTGTGGGCACAGGCTATGGCGTCTTCTTCTTCTTCTTCTTCTTCTTCTTCTTCTTCTTCTTCTTCTTCTTCTTCTTCTTCTTCTTCTTCTTCTTCTTCTTCTTCTTCTTCTTCTGAAAGCGAGTCTTTGTGTTGTAGTATAGGTGTTCTTTTCGGCACCTCTGTTTTGACTGTTTGTTTTGACCGGGTTTTGTGCATGAAAGAAAGAAATGGCTGGAGTCGTTTGAAAATAAAACGACAGTTGTTATCTTTATCTTTTGTATTTCCCTCAGCACAAGATACACACGCTCTTGCACAAGAATCCTTGCAGTTACGACCGAAAATAAGTATGCCATGACACAACTGCTTGAACAGGTTTCACACGAATACTTTTGTTTGATCGTCCCAACCAAAGACAAATAATAAAACTTTAGTACGGTACCAAATTAACATACAGAATCACAGCTTTTAGGATTTTCCTGAGAGTCAACAAAGAGGAGAACACACACCATACTTGCGCGCACATCATCATCTGCAAGATTCTCAACATTCATAAATTATTGTCTTTCTTGAATTACGCATTCAACGATCTGAAGGTTTTCAATAGGCACTCTTTACATCGCATTCGATTTATAAACTCTTGACACTTTTAATTTTCACGTAATTCCCTCCTTTTCAGGACTTGAAGGTGAAAATTCCTCCAATCATCGACCATAATTTGATTCAAAGACGTTTATGCGAATTAAGAGGATAGGAAATTGTACTATTAAAGCATACATAAAGCTTTGAATTTGATATAACTCTCAGAAGGAACATCTTCAAACCCTGACCACAATCATGTTTCTTTACCATCACTGTGCAGAAGGAAATGGACAGGAACTGTGCCAGCTGTTTCTAACTAATATAACAAACGGTATTTCATCCAACAAGACATTAATATACATTGTACAACACTTTACACATCAATATAAACGAAGAAATCTGACAAGAAAAAATAAACATAATAATAAATTAATAAAGTACAAATAATTCAAATGAAACATTTCCATAAAGTATACAATAGGCTTGTGTTTAACACAAAAGAAACAATTATTGTTGTAAAATTGTTTCCAAGTTCAGAAAGCTAAAATGGCAAGCAGGCTTTTTCTGCTATCTCACTATCGGCAAATTCCGTACTGGAACGAATGCTGGATTGCGGAATCTTGGACAGGTTTTGCCTCTACTGGAATGACAATTTTCCATCCATTTGTCCTACTTTCCTATCTAAGAAGATAATTTGAAAAGCAGGCGAAACAATCACACAAACCAGAGTAAAACATGTATGGCCAGATAAATAGTTTATTATCTCTACCAGAAGAGAGTTTGTCTCTGCTACACACAACTGGACCTAGTGTCCATAAGTGTATGAAGTATACATTGGGCCAAACGCGAGACACATTAGCACATTAAAGTGGTCCCGCTGATATGATCAAGAAAATCGAGTCGCAATGGCACTGATACAAACATAATACAAAGAAATACACATGGTGTCCGACAACGATTACATTTAATCTATGTGTATTTTCCGGTAGTAAGTCGTGGATCAGTAAAGTCACCGACGGAGATACACACTCCTGACTAGCACACACACAAAACGTTCAACTATGAAGTATAGTCCAGCTAAGCGTAATAAGTGGTTTTTGAAATGCAGTTGCAGCTCTAATGTGCCGAAGAGATTGTCTAGCCTCGTTCACCGGCAGGTCGTCGTCCGCCACGAAGGTGAATGTGGCGCCCGAAAGGCCCGATGGCGTTTGTACGGGGAAACTAGTGTATCTAGTGTAACTAGTGGAAGTAGGGCAGCGCGGAGACAATAATCTCGGTGTATAAACAGAGAGCAGCGCTCCTGGGAAAGCTAGTGGCGGTGCGGGGAGGGGAGGGGCTGCGCCAGGCTGGGCGAGAAAGTGGCGCCACCTCTGGGCGGGCCATGGAAGTTTGACCCCGATACGCCAACAGGGCCGGGGTCTGCGAGGTCCGCGAGGTCTGCGCCTATGCGCCAGGGGGGCCAGGGGCCCTCTCCGCCCGCTCCACTTCGCAATGTCCACCCTGCGCCCCTCGCGCCTCCCTCTCTGTCGCACTGATGCGGGGGCCAGGCGCTGCTAGGCTGAGCTAGGCTGAGCTAGGCTGAGCTAGGCTGAGCTAGGCGCTCGGACTTGTGCATGAGAAAGGCACGTTGGAATGTCACACAACTCGGGAAAGTTGCGTCGGAATTGATTAAAGGACAGTCACGACAATCATCGCCATCCTACGAAACATTAAAAATAGTTCTGTAACAACGACGCTCGTCTGGAACTCGTCTACCCTATTACAGTAAAGGCACCTCTAAAGAAGTGATTTTTTCAGGAAAATCGAACAGGCTACATAGTTTTATGTAATAAGATATGACTTAAATATGATGATCAATCCATGATTCTCAGTCGTGAATTAACTCTTCCATCCCTACATCAGTCAGTCTTCAAAAGACTGAACTGGGAAACAATTCGTACAACATACTAGCAAACTCCGTCTCACACACTGTGTGACTCTGCTCATTTTCTATACTTAAAATCTAGATTTACTTATCAAGTTTGTACATGAAACGACTCTGAACGCGAATCGGCCTTTCTGGCCAGAAAACTCGCTCAGAGAAGCTACAATCATACAGCATTGGTGACTATCACAATGGCATTTATCCTATAAATACTGTGACTCCACAATCTCGAATACTAAGAATGTCCATCTGCATTGGTTTATTTTTAAGAGTAGCGCGGATCCAGGATTTAACAATAAGGCATCCGCAATAGTTCACACGCAGAAACAAAACAATCCTCTTTCATATTCGCTATGATCCAAATTTAACGACTAGAAGTTTGATATTTTAGTCAGAGCAGTCATTGTTGAAGAGGCATCCCACAAATGTACCCCTAATACCACGCTACCTCGGGAAAGCATGGACATCTAGTCCAATTTCACGAATGCACGAATGCACAAAAAATTCGTCGGCCCGGTTTGCCCTGAACCAATGTCATTTTCAGGAAAATATTTCCTTTCGATTTGTTTTGGTTGTTTGGTAACGTGGTAAATACAATCATTTCATATGACAAAATATATGAATGTACAATGCAATCTTATGTTACAAAATGAATGATATAGATGATTTGTACAGCCTCAGTGCTGGGTCGGGACCCTGGTCGGGGCCTCGCTCCCTACTCCCCGTTCACGGTCACCGTCGTCCACTGCCAGGGGCTGTTGTAACTCTTCTGGCTGCAACACACAAAGGAAAAGCACCCGTTAAAAACAATCGCCACAACTTTTCAATTTTCCTTCCGACGGCCGCGACCTGCGCGGCCGAAATATCGTTGCGCAAAACGCGACGTCGGTGGACAGAAGAAAAAGAAACGCTTCTGAAAGGCGAGGCGGAGAGCATAGAGGGGGTCGTTCATGAAATTTAAATGAGCGATTGCGAGACGACACAACGACTTCCTTTTGTTGGTCGTGCTCGGAAGTCGACCGAATCTCACACCCACCCACGGTGCAGTGCCACCAGCTAGCTGCAGCAGCTACTCGAACGAGTACACTGCAAAGAGAGCGGCGTGCGAGGCGGGCCCTATCTCCCCGAAGACGCCCTTAGGGCCTTTCTGGGCCCTTTCTGGGGCCTTTGAAGCACCGACTGTCAACCGACCGCGGGGCGCGCCGTGCTGCGCGCCGTCCCGACCAAGAAGCGCGTATCTGGGGTCCGCCGGCCGCGGGGCTGCGGGGCGGCGCGAGTTACGGCGGTCTGTGCGAGGCGTATGCAGATGCATGGCGACGTCGTCTTCGTCAGCTTAACGAGCAGGGAAGGGCCCAGGCCCAGGCCCAGGCCCGGGGAAGGGCCCGCTGGGGATAGGGTACACGTCAGCCAGAGTGCGGTGGCGCGGTGGGATGTCTAGAAGGGCGCTCGAACCGCGGCGTATAAACGACAGCCCAAAATATCAGCCAAAGTGCTGTTCGGGGCAGTAAAGCGCATCGAATTCGAAGCGCGCGCTTTTTAACGGCAGCAAACACAGAGTGGGTTCGGGGAAATTTCGAGAAAGTCGAACCACGAAGGGCCGCGATACGCAAGCAAAATGGACGGTCTCAGCCTGCCTACTAGGCAACCGCGCGACAGCCGTGCCGGGAAGTTGCCTACCTGGCAGTTGGCAGGCGCTAGAGACGCCCAGGCAGTGCTTTCGCAGCACTGTAGGCAGCACTGTGTGTTTCGAACAGGGCTGTACCGCCTCGCCTCGCCCTGCACAGTGGGCCAGAAGACCGGTGGAGGCGGCCAAAACTCTAGACGCGTTTTGAGCTCCAGAGTCGCTAAATGGGACTCGAACAGAACGTGTGACCCCACCAATGGATTGCTCTCCGAACGTGGAATCCATTGGTGGGGTCACACGTTCGGTTCGAGGCCTGTTTAACGACTCTGGAGCTCAGAACGCGTCTAGGGTTTTGTCTGCCTTCACGGGTCTTCTGGCCCACTGTGGCCTGCTCGCGGCCCTGTCCGCCCTCCACGCGTCTGTTTCGGAGTGACCCTGCGGGGCCCGCAGGGCGCCAGGCGGGGCAGGCGCGTCGGGGCGCGCCTCGCACTGTCGGTCAGGTTACTCCGCGCGCGCTGTAGGCCCGCGTGACCGCTAATGGAAAGCTCCCAATAAAACCATCATCACCGCCCGCCACCACCCCGCGCCCCTCGTCCGAGCGGCCGGCCGCGTCCGGAGCGCCGCCCGGAGGGGCCCGCTCTCCGTCTCTGTCGAACCCGCACGGAGCGGCTGAGCGGCCCGGGACTGCGAGGGAGACAGAGCGACCGCGCGGGATCCGCCTGCAGTGGGGGAATCTCCACCAGACACGCCGCCGCCGCCGCTGCTGCCCACACAGATACGCCGAGGGTGGAGGTGCACGTCGCACCGCGCCACCGTTTGCCCACGTGGACGTGCTGATTCGGTCTCCCTCGCACCCACGGGGCGCCCCGAATGGCCCGAATGGGTGCGAGGGAGACAGAGCGACTCGAGAGGTGCGTCGAGTCGACTCCAAATCGGTTCGACGTCGATCATGTGTGGAACCACCGCCACCTCTTCGTCCTTTCTGTTCGGCGGCACCGCCTCGGTCGCGGAGTGCTTGCCCCCGCTCTCTGGAGGGAAAGGCAGGGAAACCAGCGAGTGCAGGCAGCGCACGGAAGCCTTTGAGAGACTTTCCGCCAATCAGCGTGTCGTCGTGGAGCTCGCAGGGCACAGTGGGCCAGAAGCCCGGTGGCGGGGGCCGAAACTCTAGACGCGTTTTGAGCTCCAGAGTCGCTAAATGGGACTCGAACAGAACGTGTGACCCCACCAATGGATTGCTCTCCGAACGAGGAATCCATTGGTGGGGTCACACGTTCGGTTCGAGGTCTGCTTAGCGACTCTGGAGCTCAAAACGCGTCTAGGGTTTTGTCCGCCTCCACGGTCTTCTGGACCACTGTGCAGAGCTCGCAGCCCGGACCCGAAATAGCGGCGGAATCCTTTCAGCCGGATAGGGCGTATGCTGCTTGGCATTGGAAGGGGCCCCGCCCCGGGCCCAGCCCGCCCGCATTAATGCAATCACTGCCTTTTCTTTTGCCTTTTTCTCCCTTCTTTTTTTTTTGCATAACCAGTTGCGGCGCATGATTGGCGTTTGAACAAAGAAACGCTCCTCGCCTCGCGGAAGCTGGCCGCGTGGCCGCGCCGCCGCGACTCGGGCGGGACTGCAGCTGATACACAAAGAAACGGCATCACTGCAAAGCTCTGCAAAGGAGCGGCGAGGAGTCAAGGCTGCAGCAACTGCCATCGGAAATCCATCCCGTCCTGGATAAGGTCCAAGATCCAAGCAACAGTGTTGTCGTTGCCAGGCAACGCCCCGCGACGCCCGGCATGCAGTGCTGTGGCACTGCCGCGGCACTGCCCCGCAGAGATCGCCTCACCGATTTACGAGTTGCTTTGCAAACAAAAGAATATTTTTCTGCTCGAGGGCGGTCGCGGCCCGGGCGGGTTAGAGAGCGCCTTGTGGATCCAGGTGGCTATCAGGGAGCCCGGCGCGGCGCCATGTACACTGTGTGGCCCACAGTGTGGTACACTGTGTGGTACACTGCAGTGATAACAGGCAAACAGTGCGCCGCGCACGCCGCTGGACGGCCAGAGCACTACCAACACCACACCGCCAAATTTGAGTTCCCCGCCGTCGGCCGTTTTGAGGCTGTTTGAAGGCCAAGGGACGCCTGGCGGTGGTGGCCAACCTGACCCTGTGGACCTTTGGACTCGCACACTGCTGCCATCTTCGGGACGATCTTTGAAACGACACCCTGGCAATCGAATTTCTGATTTACGGGTTGGCGGCGCCGCGTCGCGCAGCGCCCTAGATGAGCCGTGGTTTGCATAGGGCCGTAAAAATAGGTGAGTTACCGCGCCGTAAATCGGGCATTAGGGTGGCACCACTGTGGCGCCACCAGTGTAGCCAACGGAGCCAGCGTAGCCAGCGTAGCCAACGTTATGCAATGATAAAGACTGACCTTCGTGCCGCGCACCGCGCAAAGTGGCCGTAAAAATATCTCTTTGCTCCGCGACGAAGACTCGTCAAAAGTACGAAAGAATCCAGTGGCGAGCAAATGCCGAGGAGAAGAAGAAGAGGGAGAGGAAACCGGTTGGCGCGCAAGGCGGCGGCAGCGCGCGGGTGTCGTCCAGTGTGGGCATTCAAACAGCAATTAAGAAGGGGTGCCAACTTAATTTTCCCGGCTCCTCTTTTTCACAGTGTGCATGCATATGGCGCTGAAAGCTGCCGCGCTGCGCTTTGGTTAAATTCTTTTCTTCTTTTTGGCAAATTGGAGCGTTATATTGGCTGCGTCGAGTGACTTTGTTATCTGATCACCTGACGACATAACGAAACCAAATCGCGCAGTGCATGCCCCCCTCCCCCAAATCAGGGGCACCGTTTTCCCCCTCACCACTTTGCAGCCCCATTCCCATCGAAAAGAGCCGAGGAAAATAAATTTCCATCTCCATTTTTTAGCGTGGCTCGGCTCGTCGCGGCACCACGCCCGACGCGTCCTGCCCCTGCCTTTTGGTGCGGCTCTCCCTCTCTCTCTCCCTCTCTCTCCGTCTCTCTCTCTCTCTCTCTCTCTCTCTCTCTCTCTCTCTCTCTCTCTCTCTCTCTCTCTCTCTCTCTCTCTCTCTCTCTCTCCGTCTCTCTCCCTCTCTCTCTCCGTCTCTCTCCCTCTCTCTCCCTCTCTCCCTCTCTCTCCGTCTCTCTACCTCTCTCTCCCTCTCTCTCTTTCTCCCACGCACGAGGACGGTCTGGCAACGCAGCGTGTATTTCCATCCCCGCTAGTGCATTATTTCTTAACTTGTGTCATTGAGGCTTTTCCTGTTCCCGACTCTATCTCTCCAAATGGCCTGTCTATCCTTGACGAGCGAGGCCGCAAATGATGCGGCGGGTGCCGGCGTCGCCTCGGCCTCAGAAATTCGTCCATGACTACAGTGTGGTGGCACGCCGAATTTGTGCAGCCAGCGAGTCGCACAACTCGGGGGCACGCTATAGAGAGCTCGTTAAAAACCTCCCTTTATCTGATCTGGCGCGGGTTCGATTCCCGGCCGTCCAGCGCATTGTCATTCTCCGTCCCAGTTCCAACTCTACACCGTCCATGGTTTATCATTCTTATCAAACTACTGTCCTTTTTTTCATGCGATTTTTTAAAACTTTTTTTGTTTTGCGGCTGGCAATTTTTTTTCCCTGTCTGATGGAAGTTTCTGCGCGGAACGATTTTGCGGCCCAAGGGTCATTAGGCCCTGGGGCTAGTGTGGCGTGGCGTGGCGAGGCGTGGCGTGGCGTGGCGTGGCAGGGCAAAACGGTAGCCGATGAGGGCGTGGCCGAACGCCTGCAGCCGAGCGAACGGTTCCCGGCCCTACCTTTCAACGAGGCTGCCCAAACGGAAAGGCAAGAGGCACACAAGGCGGAAAGGAAAGGAAAATACAGTGTACACCGCATTACGCTGTCGTGTAATGCTCCGCGAGGTGACTTTCTATTTTTGGCGCTCCCCGTTAGGTGACTCCAACTTGCCGAACTTGCGAGCATTCAGTTGCAGTTGAAATCGACAATGTAAAAGGGGTTTGCTATTTGGACAGCGTTCCCGTGGACTAAATGACAACCAAATGAAAAATAACGACGAGGAAATTCAATGGAAATAAATAGTGTCTCCTGTCTCCTTGCAGCAGTTTGACGGGCTGACGGGCCCTCATTGGACACAC